TCAAACATGCCAGCCCTGATGCACATGGCTGGCGCCCTGGCCGCTGAGCTATAGGCACCAAGCCAGATTTTATAATTTTTGAGTGAATAGCAAACATCTTGAGTAAGCAAAGAGAGAGATTTATGTGAATCTTTGTGCCTGAAAATGGACACATCTCTTCTCAGGCGGTTAGTATGATAGATTGAGCCCATCTAGTTAAAAAGTGTGGTGGATTTAGATTTTGCTATTGCCAATATTACTTTCAGTGCACCACAGGCTTCAAATTTCTCTAGTGATGCTTATAAGTGGTGCTTGTAAGGGTTTTCTCAATGTCTGCGCTCTGCCCTCAGTGCTCAATCTTTCCTATATACTATATAGGCATCACAGAGATAGTCTCTGTCCTTATTTTTCCCCTTCTGCCACTGGAAGGCTTTACTACCTGTATACTTGGTGTTTTTGCTAGGGTAATGGTGATGGGGACAGCGTAGTTCTCTGTTGTCCTCTTCATCATCAGTCTTAGGTAGGTTTATATGCCTGGGCTCTGGAGAATAAGGCTTTCTCAGTATTCCCTCCCTACTCCTTATGACAGGCTGCTAAACTCTGCTTTGTATCTGTGCTAGGTCTTGTGTGGGAAAAATGTTTCTGCTTCTCCTTCAGTTTTAGGAGACCTCTAAGAATATTAGCATGGAATCCCAGACTTAGGATTATTTCTTCTAGTCCCCTTAGGAGTAGGGTCCCCCCCTTCTTCCTCTGATAACAGTGGATTGTTTCCTGTACCTTGGGAACAACACTATTTACAGTCTTAAGCCCTTTGGGAGAGAAGCGTGGGCAGCTGAGGCCTATCTTGCAGGGATAGCTACTACTGTCCTTTATGCCTATAGTACTGAGGTGGCTCTTTGCAGTCTCCCACCTTGCCCTAATAATTTCCTGTGAATCCCCTGGGAGGTCATGGGAAAGAGTCTGTAAGTGAGTGCAAGCACTCCTTGCTTTTGTGGCACTCAGAGGCTCTTTTTTATTATTTTTTAAATATTTATTGACAAGTTTTCAAAGCAGAACCAAATAAGACATTTATTTATTTATTAATTTTGTGAGACAGAATCTCACTTTGCTGCCTTGTGTAGAGTGCCATGGCATCATAGTTTACCACAACCTCAAACTCTTGGGCTCAAGCAATTCTCTTGCCTCAGCCTCTGGAGTAGCTGGGACTTATAGGCACCTGCCATAACACCTGGCTATTTTTAAGAGACAAGATCTCGCTCTGGCTCAGGCTGGTCTTGAACCTGTGAGCTCAGGCAATCTACCGCCTCAGCCTCCCAGAATGCTGGGATTACAGGCATGAGACACCATGCCCAGCCCCCAAGTATTTCAACTTTTATTATATAGAAGCATAGGAGATCTTTATTGCATGAGAGTTAAAATAATTTACCTGCAAAACTATATAGACCTAGTGCCTATTTGGGGGAGTATTTTTCAAATAACTTTTCTGGCTTTTCCTTTTTTTTGAGACAGAGTCTTACTTTGTCACCCTCAGTCAGTAGAAGGCTGTGGCATCACAGCTCACAGCAGCCTCCAGCTCTTGGGCTTAGGTGATTCAACCTCCCGAGCAGCTGGGACTACAGGCACCCACCACAATGCCCGGCTATTTTGTTGTTGCAATTTGGGCGGGGCCCGGTTCAAACCTGCCACCCTTGGCATAGAGGGCTGGCACCGTACTCATTGAGCCACAGGAGCCACCCTGGCTTTTTTTTTTTTTTTTTAAGACAAAGTCTTTGGCTTGGCGCCTGTGGCTCAAGTGGCTAAGGCGCCAGCCACATACACCTAAGGTAGTAGGTTCAAATCCAGCCTAGGCCCACCAAACAACAATGATGGCTGCAACCAAAAAATAGCCAGGCATTGTGGTGGGCGCCTGTGGTCCCAGCTACTTGGCAGGCTGAGGCAAGAGACTCACTTGAGCCTAGGAGTTGAAGGTTGCTGTGAGCTGTGATGTCATAGCACTCTACCCAGGGTGACAGATTGAGGCTCTGTCTCAAAAAAAAAAAAAGACAAAGTCTCATTCTGTTGCCCATGCTAGAGTGCTATAGTGTCAGCCTAACTCACAGCAATCTCAGACTCATGGGTTCAAGTGATCCTCCTAACTCAGTCTCCTGAGTAGCTAGGACTACGTGCACCTGCCACTATGCCTGGCTAATCTTCCTTTTTAGTAAAGACCGGGTCTTGCTCTTGCTCAGGCTGGTTTCAAACTCCTGAGCTTAAGTGATCCTCCCACCTTAGCCTCCCAGACTGTTAAGATTATAGACATGAGCCTGGCCCAGCCAGAGCCACATCTTTTTTTTTTTTTTGGAAATAATGAAATTTTAATATTAATTTGGTTAAGCTGCACTCCAGAAACATGGGAAGAACAGTAGCCATACTATTTCTTATAGGCTTTTACAATTAATAAAAGCCTAATGCAGTACAATTTTAATACACAAGCACCCCTTGCTTCTGTGGCATTCAGAGGCTCTTTGTAGTCACTCAAAGCCACACGGAGCTTTAGTAATCCATAAAGACTTCAGCTACTTTCTTCTTACCATTTGTATGTTAATTCAAATACCTCCCATGCTCTGGTATAGGTGGGAGAGTCTACACATCCTTTCCCTGCTCATGAGGAATTAAATTTTAGGTTACTTAATGACCTGCAGCATCAGGTCTGCTCTAGGTTCAATTTTTTGCTTCAAAAAAGGTGATTTTGCAGTGTGTCTGGCTTTTTCTCATTGTCAGGGAAGCAGCAATGCTCTTTCTGGTTTCTGATAAGCCCTGAGAAAGGTTATCCCAATTATATTTTCTTTTTTTTCTTTTTTGAGACAGAGCCTCAAGCTGTCACCCTAGGTAGAGTGCCGTGGCATTACAGCTCACAGCAACTTCCAACTCCTGGGCTCAAGCGAGTCTCCTGCCTCAGCCTCCCAAGCAGCTGGGACCACAGGCACCTGCGACAACGCCCGGCTATTTTTTGGTTGCAGCTTTTTGGTTGCAGCCGTCATTGTGTTTGGTGGGTCCGGGCTGGATTCTAACCCGCCACCTTAGGTGTATGTGGCTGGTGCCTTAGCCGCTTGAGCCACAGGCGCCAAGCCCCCAATTATATTTTTTCTGTGACTATAGCTATCCCTATTCCACACTATCACAATAATATTGTGTAGTATTAATTTTTAAAAATTCCTAATTATAAGTTTACTACTTTTCTACCTTTTTTTTTTTTTTTTGAGGCAGAGTCTCACTTTGTTGCCTAGGCTAAAGTGCCATGGCATCAGCCTAGCTCACAGAAACCTCAAACTCCTGGTTCAAGAAATCCTCTTGTCTCAGTCTCCCAAGTACCTGAGTCTACAAATGTCCACCATAACGCCTGGCTAATTTTTCTATTTTTAGAGATGGGGATTATCACTCTTGCTTAGGCTGGTCTTGAGCTCCCAAGGTAAAGCTATCCTCCCATCTTGGCCTTTCAGAGTGCTGGGATTATAGGCATGAGCCACCGCACCCAGTCTCACTGCTTTTCTATTGATATTGCCCTCATGCTTGTGTTCCCAAGTATAATATCTTAATAGAATAATAAAAGAAAAGAAGAAGGTCAAATGAGTATGAGAATTTGGAATGAAACCAGAAAAAAGGGAGGAGTTCAAAATGTATTCTGAGAGCTTTACCACTATGAATACTCACCTCTGTCTTTTCCCCCAAACTGGCTGAACCAGTATAAAGTTCCAGGGAGAAATAATTTTGAAGAAGCAAGCAGTGGCCCTACCCTAGTCTACACCTTACCTAAGGCCCCCTTAGGTGATTGGCCAGGACATCAATCATAGCAGCACACCCTACCTAGGGATTAGTATATAAGCTACTGCTGGTGAGCCAACCTCTGGTTCCTGATTCTGAGGAATCTGTCTCCGCCACAATGATGTGGGCTCGACTCCTTCTAGGAACGTTGGCCCTTTTGCCAGCCATTGCAGAACTTCTCCCGTAAGTGCTCGGTGTCAGAGTTGATTTAGTGACTATCCTTCTGTGCCTTCTGTGCCTATCCTTCTCATACAAATTGTGGGTATGAGGAGATCAACTTTGGTTTATGTTAATTTTCTTCTCATTTTTTCTCCTCTTTAGTTCCATTGCTCCTTTACCTAGAGATAAAGCACTAAGGCACCAAGAGGAAGCTTAACAAAAAGATGAATGTTATGGTGGCACCCATAGCTCAGCGGTTAGGGCGCCAGCTACAAACACTGGGGCTGGTGGGTTCGAACCCAGCCTGGGCCTACCAAACAACAATGACAACTATGACAAAACAATAACCGGGTGTTGTAGTGGGTGACTGAGGTCCCAGCTACTTGGGAGACTGAGGCAAGAGAATCGCTTAAGCCCAGGAGTTTGAGGTTGCTGTGAGCTGTGATGCCACAGCACTCTACCCAGGGCAACATAGTGAGAGTTTGTCTCAAAAAAAAAAAAAGACAAATGTTAAAACATAGTAGACTTCTTGCACCTCATTCTCTGGAATAGACCAAATTTCCTAGAGACCAAATGTTCTCTGGGCAAAATTTCTCAATGATGGCTACTTAATGGAGGGAGAGTTAAGGCTGTGCACTGAGTTTTTTTTTTTTATTTAAGGTTCATAAAGGAAGGACTCAGACTGTCTTAGGAAAGTAGTTAAACTTTCATTGAATGAGCAAATTATTATCGCTCTGAAATCCTTTTATTTCCTTAATAGAAACTACCTGGTAACACTACCTGCCCAGCTTAACTTCCCCTCCACTCAGAAGGTGTGTTTGGATTTGAGCCCTGGGTACTGTCATGTTAAATTTACTATTACTCTGGAGACCAAAGGCAAGACCCAGAAGTTGCTGGAACAGTCGGGATTGAAAAAGAGGAACTTACATTGCATCTCCTTTCTAGTAAGCACAGACTCAGCCCTGACTCTTACTTTCCTATTCTCCTCTGTAGCCACTGACTATAATCTAACTTTAAATGTAAGTTCTGTTACCTTACTTTTGCCACGTCCTATAAATCTGTCTCCTCTCAAGTTCAATTTCTGGCCATAACTCACCCACAATTTCCTTGACCTTGGATTTCTTCTTTTAGTTTCTGGCCTTAACCCCTGCCAATATTGTTTTCCTCTGTGGCTCTACCCTTGCTGCCCCATCTAACTCAGTTCTTTGCTTTTACTCTTTCACTGTCTGGTTGGGACCAGTTGGTTCTGTCCCCCAATCTCTTCCTCCTCCCCTGAGCTGCCCTCTCTTGGCCAGGTACCACCTCCCGCTGGTGGCACAGAAGAAGTGGCCACAATCCAGGTGTCAGGTATTGGAAAGAACGTCAGGTTTGAGGAGAAGAAAAAGATTCTAATTCAGAGGCAGGGGAGTGGCACCTTCGTGCAGACTGACAAACCTGTCTACACCCCAGGGCAGCGAGGTAAGAGGCACACTTTCAGGGTTAGACCAAGAACTGGGGACGCAGCTGGACACATGCTGAAGAGGGGATTTGTGTTTTGGTGGTAGAATTAGGGAACAAAAGTGCCTAAGAAGGGAAAGTCTGGGGACATGAAGTGTTTCATGCATTGAGTTCATGCTGTGTCACACAAGCTAGTGTACAGGGTGGAGTTGCTGTATTTCTCCTGAAGTAGAATTTGGGAAGTGTAATTGGGTGGCTGGATCTTACAGTAAGCCGATTGTCTATGAATAAGAAAGCATCAGAGAAGGCTGGGCAAGGTGGCTCACACCTGTAATCCTAGCATTCTGGGAGGCTGAGGTGGGTGGATGGCTTGAGCTCAGGAGTTCCAGAGCAAGACCCCGTCTCTACTAAAAATAGAAAAACTAGCTGTGTGTTGCAGTAGGCACCTGTAGGAGGCTGAGACAGGAGGTTCTTTTGAGCCCTGGAGTCTGAGGTTGTTGTGAGCTATGATGATGCCAAGATACTCTACCCCTGGGGGACAGAGTGAGCTTCTGTCTCAAAAAAAAAATGGTGAAAAAAGAGACATCTGGCTTGAGTTCCTGTTGTTTGTATTTGTTCATTCTTCCTTAGAGGGGCATTCCATTCTGAGGTTTCCAAGTCTGCAGCACTGTAGAGAAACCGTGTTTGGGCTTCTCTATCAGGAGAGGATTTTTTTTTTTTTTTTAAAAGAAGTAAAACCTGATGGGGTTTTGCTGACTTAGAAGTATGTGCAAAGGGGTGGAAGATTCTGTTTTTTTTTTTTGTTTTTTTGAGACAGAGCCTCAAACTGTTGCCCTGGGTAGAGTGCTGTGGCATCATAGCTCACAGCAACCTCCAACTCCTGGGCCCAAGCGATTCTTCTGCCTCTGCTTCCCAAGTAGCTGGGACTATAGGCACCCACCACAACACCTGGCTATTTTTTGGTTGCAGCTGTCAATGTCGTTTGGCGGGCCTGGGTTGGATTCGAACCTGCCAGCTTAGGTGTATGTGGCTGGTGCCTTAGCTGCTTGAACCACAGGTGCTGAGCATGGGGTGGAAGATTCTGATGGGGCTGGGGAATCCCCTTTGCTGATGATGCTTCTTTCCTTCTAGTGTTTTTCCGCATCGTCACCATGAACAGCGACTTTGTCCCAGTGAATGACAAGGTGAGAATTTGGTAGGGAGGAGGACAAGAGAAAGGAGTCCAGTAGCCTGAGAGAGGACAGGAAGAAGGAGAAGAGGTTCTCTGCAAGGGGTGTGGTCCTCCGTGCTCTCACAGTGGGGAATGAATGTGTGGGAACAGAAGCGCTGTGCTAGCCTCAGGGTACCAGCCTAAGTCCTTCTGGCTCCTGTCTGCCTAGATACAAGCAGAGGTGACTAGTTCTCAGCTCTGGTAACTACCCATCAATCCAGCTAACATTCCTGAGAGATGATTACACTTGCTGTCATTTAAAAAGGAGTTTTGCAAACTTTAAGACCTTCTCTTGAGGAGTGACACCAAGTTGGCTTTGAATTCAAATATTAAGAAATAATTCAGGCGTGTACTAAACAAATGGGAAAGATGAGGGCATCCACTGCCACCATCTTTTTTTTTACTATGAGGCAAGATAATTTTTAAAGTAGACAGTTCTTTCAAGGCAACACTAAATAAATACATACTGAATGTAAAAGTGTGGTAACAATTGGTGAATACTTAAACTTTCCTGGGCAGGTCTACCCCTCAATTTCGGGCTTGCATCATTTCTCCTTGCTTCTGAGACCTTTCTGAAAGCCCTGCTTCTTTACTCCTCCTTCAGTCACAGCCTATGCATTACAGCATTATTTTCATTCTCCTTTTTTTTTTTTTT